CAATGTACAGACTTGTCCAATCACTACGCTGTATGCCTGAATCTCGTGTAACATTGTGTGTCAACTATACTTCAATTCAAAAACAAAACAAAACAAAACAAACAAAACTTTCTAGGCTAGTGATGGAAGAAGGAGGCCTGAGCACATCAGTTCAAATCTGCCTTTGCTGGAGTGGAAAGGGGTGCAATTTTTTTTTCCACTGGGGTAGATGCTACTCTTAGTAGGTCTGTACTTGATAGATAGTCTGACCTGTCAAGAGCAAGAATGTGTCCAGGGTTGGGAAGAGGAAGAATAAAAAACTTCAAAGTAAGGAGATGGACACGGGCGTACGTCTCCACAGCTGAGAATTTTGTAGTATAGCAGAAATATGAAAGCTTTGCCTTCCTGATCCATTCATTCGTCATTCAACAAACTCTATGAGGCATTCCTAAGAGCCAGGATTGCTCTGCTCTGGGTAATGCTGGGGACAGAACTCTGAGCTAAACATTCACAAACCAACCTGTCCTTCTTGGGGAGAGACTTAAGGAACAAATGAGGGTACTGTGGTGTGTGCGGGGGGAGGGGGATAAAACTTGTGAAAAGTGCTTTGAATCTAGAGACTTTTGAAGGTAAGAACAGGGGAAACCCAGCCCCATCCTCCCGACAGGAGGCCGATTCTACCTACAGAAGCTCTCTTCCCTATGAGTAACAATGGTTCTGCCCCTCAGGAAGGAAGACACTTCCTTGTGCACAGACAGGGTCTTTGAGATCTCAGAGGTTTGGTTCACAGACACCAAGGCGAGCTGCAGACTTTGGACAACCGCTGTCCCATCTCAGGGCCTCCCCATCTGTGTGATGGGGTCAGTAAGCCCTTGAATGAAGAGGGGGCCTAGGATCTTACCGCTGGGGAAAAAGCATCCTTCCTTTCCTGTTCTCCCCACATCCAGAGCTTGGAATCTGCATGACCCCTTGCTGGCCTTTACCACGACTAATGATGTAATAATGTATGGTGATTAACATAACAATAAAAAATTATTTAAAAAAAAAGAAAATGCCACGAATAAACCACCATTTATGTGTAAGACATCATCTTCAAACCTCAAACTAAACGTGTGTGGCATGGCCAAAGACCAGGGTATTAAAAGCTGGAACTGACCTAAAAAAATCCATCATCTGTGGAGGTCAAGGGTATAA